GAGGCTAGCCCACGTATCTTGGCAGGTAAGCGCAAGCACATTGACGACGAGCAGCCTTCGACGCACCTACCCCGGAGTATGGGGCCCCTCCAGCGCCAGCAAATCATGTACCTCACCCTCATGATCCACAACTACACAAAAGACGGCGAAGGCTCGCCGTCCTTGAGCACGTCTGAAGCTGATCAGGCTGGTGCTTTAACCTGGCATTATCTTACCGGGAAGCTCTCGCAATCAGAGCTGAATGCCATTCTGCTCCGCACTTTGGAGCAAGCCAAGGTCATTCTGAGGTCTGAATTCACTCCAGCACATCAACGGAACCTACTCCAGCTGCATCCCCAAACGACGGCGGAGACCTGGCAAGGCCAAGCATATTTCCCCCTAGGCCTCCGGCTTCAAGACCCACATCAGCTTGATCTTGAAGCATATGATTTCAGAACGCTCAAAAGAGCATCACTTCAGCTTCGCCTACTACAACAACTGCGGACTATTACGGCCTCCACACCTACATCGGCCAGCGACCAAATCCGAGATGGCTGGGATTTCCTTGAACAAGACCGTGATCTCTCAAAGCTTGACTACGAGGACTACCACACCAGATTGGTTTCAATGATCCCGCACTATCAGGAGACACTCCGAGAGATCCTGACACTGTATCGCCTATGGCTGTCCACCCCTCTGTCCGATGAGGACTTCCATTGGGTGCGCAACCTGGTAGCGAATCAGCTACTACCTAGAGATACTCTGCATCGCTACTTCGCTGACAGTCTCTGGCAACAAATACGACACAGATATGGAGGAGACCAAGGAGATTACGAGCAGGCCCAAGGAGTCATCACAATTCTTTCCCCGCTCCACGACCAGGTCTATGATGACTATAAGAACTTTGCTGTGGCGCTGACACTGCTCCTCGTTCGACATCGTCAACGTCTGAAACAGACGCTAGACGACAAAATTCGGGGCTAGGGACCATCCGAGCACCACAGACTTCCAAACGAGTGAGGTCCCCTCCTGTTCGCTGCACTATCTTCCCAAATTGCGGGGAAAAAGCCTGTAGCTCCAATCTTTCCACGTCAAGCCTCACAAGCACAGCTCTTCTCGCAAAGTTTTCCCTCAGGTTCGCACGAGTGAGGTCCCCTCCTGGCGAACTTCCACCTAGGCCCATGGCAGACCTTCACCCCGTTCTCAGCCGTGAACAGGCAATGGAGGTACTTCTTGAGTCTCTATTCCTACCGCTGCCGGTTTACCCTACAACTCCATCTGGTGCCGCCGCAGCAAGCAATCTGGACCTGGCATCCTCACGCACCCCTGCGGGAGAAGCGATCCCACACTTGAACCGCCAGATACGGATAGCCTCGCGCACCTGCAGTTTCTTGAAGCTGCTCGCGGAGAAAGTTCACCGGCACATGGGAGACTTGCGGCTCTACCTTCCCAAAACCGCACCTCGAAACTTGTCCGCAAAACGGAAGCATGAAGAGATGTTGCTGACAGAGCCTCGCTCTCCTACTCTGACGTACCATCAGAAGCGCCAGCTCCTCTTCATCTCTCAGGCGATTCGAGACTACACCAACGATGGGCCTGGCCAGAACTCCTTCCAGCTCGAAGATGCGGAACCTACCACCCAGCGCATCTGGACGTACCTGACGCGCCACTTCGGCCAAGGTGAGGTGCACTTTATGATTGCTAACGCCCTGTCGCATCTACACCTTCTCATGCGATCGTCAACTCCATGCCTACTCTCAGGCATTGAGCAGTCACAGCCATCGTATGCTCCAGGACAGGGCTCGGACTACTTCCCTATCAATCTTCGTCTGCACGATGACAAGCAACTGGACCTTCAATACTTCGACCTGCAGGCGCTAAGGCGAGCCTCCACAGTATACCGGGTGCAGCAGCTGCTCAAAGTCTCTTCTTCCGCCGAAGGGGCATCGCCAGTCAAGAATGGATGGCGCTTTCAACATCAGGACCATCACCTCAATGGTTTGTCCTACGACCAACATCTCCTGGCTCTGCTGCCTCATCTTACTCACTACCAGGACCAAATTCGCGAAGATTTGGTCACCTACAGGCAGTGGCTGCTTCGAGAAATCAACGCAGAGGAAGTTTCTTGGATTCAATCCTTGATCGCGGACACGGTTATCTCGCGAGGTGAACTACTGGAGCTCTTCGAGGATGCCCTGCTAAAGCAAGTCAACTCTGCATTTCAAGCTAATGCTGGTATTCCTAACCCTGAGGATCATTCTCAAGACTTCCAGAACAGCATGGCCCTCCGCTTCTATCAAATCATCAATCCGCTCTATGATGACATCTACGAAGAGCACAAGCCCTATGCAATAGTGTTCAAGATGCTCACCTCCTCTCATCGTGGACGGCTTCGGTCCCTCCTTCGAGCTCGAGAAGCTGTCATTCTGGCGTCCCCACATCGGACAACCAGCCTGGTTCCAGTATGCGAGTGAGGTCGCCTCCAGCAAACTGAACCATCAAATCCCTAAGTTCCTCTAGTCCGAATTCTGGACTTAATCACACCTCCAGACCACTGCTCGCACTGCAGAAGAAAAGCCTCCATGCCTTATAATGCACAAGCGCCAGCCTGCTAAGCTGATGCCCCCCAGACTCGGCCTGCCCGCCAGCTTGCCTGCTGAGGTTGAGGACCAATCTCGCAGAGAAGTGTACAGAAGCGCAACCCGCCTGGCTACAATGGCCAGGACATCGAAACAGACCAGGTCCCGAACGAGTAGGTCACTTAATTTTCACCCTCGATGCCCGCCAAGGTGCGGGACATAACCCGCACACGCGTTCGAAATGAAATGAAATGAAATGCTGCCCAAGGAGCCTGTCTTCGGCATGGAGCCAAGTTCTCCTTATTGGGTTTCGTGGGATCCAATCTAGGAAACGACAGTTGAAGGTGCCAACTTCGTCAATCAGCCTTTCTGGTGGAGACTTGGGGGGGAGTGGGGGGGGGGGGGGGGGGGGGGGGGGGGGGGGGGGGGGGGGGGGGGGGGCGGACAGAAGTCTGGATGCAGATTTGGGAACCTGACATCTGAATCCACCTTCGGGCACCTGTAGGCCCTAAGGTCCCCCCTGCTTTCTCGGATTTTCGTAGACTAGCCAGGGAGAATGTGTAGAAATAAATACATACATATATATATGTTTGGTACCGCCCCCCGTTATCCACGCTTTTGGGGGGGGGGGGGATAAGTAACTTCAGAGCTTCCTTACTTCAAAGCTTCAGTCTTCTTATATTCTGCTACTACAGTGTGACGATGTTATCTACTTACTGGTGTCTGGTGTTTCTAGAGTGCATAGTGTACTTAAATTTCTAGGCCTTAATGGTTAAGCACGACGAGGGCCTTAATGGTTAAGCACGATGAGGGACAAGGTTAATGGTTAAGCACGATGAGGGCCTTAATGGTTAAGCACGATGAGGGACAAGGAGTATTGAAGTTCAATGCCCCGGATTGAACTTCAATACTTCGGGATTCAAGATTCAAGATTCAAGGTTCCCGGGAAAAGTTTCCCCGGGATCTTGAATCCTGGGGCCCGGAGTATTGAAGTTCAATCCGGGGCATTGAACTTCAATACTCCTCACCCTGGATTCAAGATCCCGGGGCTTCTCCCTGGAACCTTGAATCTTGAAACTTGAATCCCGGAGTATTGAAGTTCAATCCGGGGCATTGAACTTCAATACTCCGGGCCGGGATTCAAGATTCAAGATTCAAGGTCCCCGGGAAAAGTTTCCCCGGGATTTTTTGAATCCTGGTGCCCGGAGTATTGAAGTTCAATCCGGGGCATTGAACTTCAATACTCCTCACCCTGGATTCAAGACCCCGGGGAAACTTCTCCCTGGAACCTTGAATCTTGAATCTTGAATCCCAGAGTATTGAAGTTCAATCCGGAACATTGAACTTCAATACTCCGGGATTCTGGATTCAAGCTTCTGGGGTTCAAAACTCACGGTGTGCGAACAATGTGGTTGGGAGGCTATTGGTTAGCAGCGCCCCTGTGTATCCCTAATCGCTTCCTTCATCATGGAATGACGGTGCTGCGTATCTCCGCCTGGTGCCAACCAATCCCGCGACGCCCCCCTCGCCTACACCACCAGCAGCGGCAACGGTGCCCTGGCCGACTTCCACTACCCGAAGCGATGATCCAGTGTATGAGGCCATCAAGGACGGGAAAGTCAAAGTTCACAGCACTCGCCAGCCCATTACAAAGAAAGTACTGCAGGTCACGATGAACAACATCCAGCGTGCACTCTCGTTGACAGTGGGATCAGGTGGTGGTTGGAGTCCGGAAGCTGACTCTAGACTGCTTCGCCTCTTAGCTTCCAGTAAGAAGGCTTACGCCAAGGGGAACCGTATGAAGGCCATCCAGGATGCTGAGGACGTGCCAGCCATCGAGGACATAGACCACAACATCCCCACCGACCACAACGTCCAGGAGGGGTTCGACAAATGTGAGCGTATCTCGGAGCACATGAACCAAATGGACGTCGACCACAGCATCCACAAGGCGGCGTCTGACGACGACGGGCATATCTCTGAGCACTGAGAACATGAGCCAAGGCAGTCCGGCCTCGAATGAGGCTATGGGTGTCCATGACAATTCCCATTCGGGCTCTTCCAGCTCCAGCTCTAGCTCCTCTTCCACTCATAAGAGCACTTTGCGGCGTCGGGTACGTCAACTTGAGGATATACGACGCAGGACCTGTGGGAGGCGAATGAAGTCCTTGGTCTAAACAACTGAGTGTTCGCAGTACAGGCACGTGATGACAGGCATCACGGTAGCACCGCTACATATGACGCACAAAAAAAAGCTGCCGGCAGCCTCTTGCTTGTCAGTTGTGTAATGTCTGCAAAGGCGCATGAATATGCTTCGTTTCATGACGCACATATGCATGTCAGCACTTAAACGGAAATACAACAGTGTTCATAAGTGTAACTCAATCTCATTCCCAATCCGCTCTCAGCACGTCTTGTTTGCTGCAACCGTCTGGCCATTGCATGCCTATGCCCGTAGTGTGTTCGGTATCTCGCCCCTCTCGCTTCTTGCGCATTCGTTTCGCCCTCGTCTTCTTCTACAACCTACCGCAACTCATGGCAGGCAACCTCATGGATGAAGGCATTGCAAAGGTGTCGGATCGGAACTACCAGGTGCGAGTTCTACCCGGGCCGAACGTCTTCACGTGTGACTCCATCGACCAGGTTTCAGTTCCGGACCTTCTGCAGGGCGTCTGCAGGCCATTAGACGTCAAAGTCGTCAAGTCAGCCTCTATCATCTTTGATGTTCACCTTGGGATCTTTGAGTGCGTCAGTGCAAATGTCATTGGACAACATGTTGCCAAAGGAAATCTAGCGGAACTACCTCCACCGCTCGCCTTTGCCAATATCCCGCCCGAAACAAGCAAGGTCGACATCATCATTCACAACACAGGCGACGACTGAAGGTCTTCCCCTCAGAAATCCCTCTCTTCCAATGCGGCCATTTCCATGTGCAGTGGGAAACCCTTTGTGCCAGTGTTCCGTTCCGGTCCTCACGGTGTGAAGAAGGCTCTCCAATGGGTTTTGGCGAGGGTCAGTGGTCATCATGTCCAGTGGCACGCTTTGGACAACAAGTCGCAAGGCGCCCTACAGAAATCCACGTCAACTACATGGTCGGTCGAGAACGACGATCTGGCGGATGGCATACGGTTCATCAACACCTTTGCTCCTGAATGTGATGCTCTTAACGAGCAAACATTTTGGATTCTCGCAAATATCAAACCCGACTCGGGTACGCCAGTGGCCGGATGGCCCGAGGTCAAAGTCAGGGCTATGTGCCAAAACAAATCCAGAGGCATCTCAGGGGCCGCGTCCCACAACGAGTTCCCGCTCAACACTTCCAGCCTGAACTCCGTCCTCGTGGAGACTATCTTGCCATTGGTGTACCCTCCTGAGCACAGCCATCCTCATGCTGGGGAACCCAGGCGTCGGGAAAACCCCAGCCATCATCACAATGGCCATGGCCATTGGCCGCTATCACATCCGCCGTCTCGACCTGCAGGGCGTCAAGCCGGGTTGGAGACGGGCGAAGTCTTTGGACAATTTCAGGCAGCGGTCGCCTCAGATCCAGGAGGGACTCTTCCTGGACGACCCCTCAGCCCGTCGTCTGGATATCGCTGACCTCAAAGCCTTTGTCACGACGGATGAGGACGGCACTGTGAGTGGCCGTTACAATGATGCCCGTCTGACACGCAATCAATTCCGGGCCCTAACATCCAACGACACAGGTGAGGAACCGGTGGGAGTCGGAGCTCAGGACACGACTCTTGATCCCGACCTTTTCTTCAAGCTCATCACTCCCCTATTTGACGGGCCCGCAAGAAGGACATACTTGCCGTCACAAAAAGATGTACCATCTTCGTGTTCACGAGCTCGGCCTTCTACCTTCGTCTGCCGTCCGAAAGCCCCACAGCCACTGTTCATCGCATTGACCGGAACGATCTTCACCTGGATCTACTCGCAGAAAAAGACAAGGAGCTCTATGGAAATTACGGCGTGACCATGTACGGCTTCAATCATGCGTCTTAGGTTGAGCGTGAGCAGGCCATGATTGATGCCCGTGTGGAGTACATGGGCCACTTCGCTAGTGTGAAGAACTTTGTCGATGATTCCAACGACGCACTCCAGTCCTGGCTTCGCCCTGTTCGTGTTCTACCACCCTCGCCGGATTCGCCTGAGCAGCCTCAGCAACCAAATGATCTTCATTTGTCAAGGCACATCGGTACAGGACCCAGAGCAAATCGAGTAGATCGCGGCTCCTTCGTCATGCCAGAGGCAAAGTTCCGCCGCGTCCGCGGAAAGTCCAATCTCGCATCGTCATCTTCGCTGGCGCCCCCCCGTCCACATGAGGAGGACCCCGATGAGGAAGCAGCCCGTGCCATGCACGAGGAGTGAGCTGGGCACAGTAGCATCGGGCCGGTTTCGTTTTGGTGTAATGTTGAAGCCCCTTGGCCTGCGTGCAGACAGAGTAGTTACATACCTGATGTTGGGCAAGATTGTCCACTTCTCTACTCGGCAGTACGATGCACTCCAGAAGCGTTGCGTCGAAAATTCCTTACAGCGTGTCTGCTTGGCTTATGATCACTTCGCAAACTAGGATCACCGCCTCGCCGAGCCACTGTCCATGTCTTCCACACACTGAGCCATTGTCCTTGTTTTCCACACAGACCGGGCTAAGGCTTTTGGCTTGTGTGCGTAGATAGGCGTCGCAAGGTTGCCACCATGGGCAAGCAGCTCCCGAAGAAGAAGCCGTGCTCCATCTTTCCTTCTGCGAAGAAGGGTAAGACCAGGCTCCTTCTCAAGAATAACTTCACCAAGAAGCCCGTCGGTGCGAATGCGAAAACCAAGCTCTGGCAGAAGACTCCATATGTCCAGAACGGTATTGTGCTCCGCATGGACCGCGTGCGATGGAAGCGAAATCTCAAAGATTTTCTCAACAAGGACGAGAACCGCATGGTCAAGATCCTCACCGAAGATGGGCTCCTGCCGGACTGCAGTAAGATGAAATGCCCTTTCTGCAACACCAGCGCGGTGTCCCCCTTGCAGAAACGCGACATCCTTCCACCCCGATATCGTTGCCGAAGCCGACACTGCCACAAGTTCATCTTGCCACACTACCTTCACCCGGTGTTCACATCTCGCAATGGTTCAGAAGGACATTCTCTTTCCGTGCAGGGGAGCGCCTTGCTCATGCGACTCGCCGGTGTTCCTCTCAGCAGCATACACATACTGCTCGACATGAACCACAAAGCTCTTGAACGCATGGAAAAGAACTTGGCCTTTGTGCGCAAGGCATACGTGGAGCATTGTCAGAAGTCCATGAGCTTTGGGACGGGTAAAGGGAAGGAATGGACCGAAGTCGAAGCCGATGAGGCTGTCTTCGACAAGTTCCTCCTCCCTGCAGAAGATGCAGAGGTGCAGAAGAAGCCAATGCGATGGGAACAGTGGCTTGGTATGGTCGCCCGGGGCAAGCCTTCTTCATTGGTGCTGATCCGCTTACCTTCCACGGCAACTTGCAAGAGGGCACCAGGTCCTGGTGCTGTCAAGAAAGAGAGCTGGCTGAAAGTCGCCAACACCTGGCTCAAAAATCGCAACATCATACTCCACACTGACAGTGCCAGAAGCTACAAAGCCAAGATTGCAGGGTTCTCCAAGACTCGGTGGTCCACCAAAAGAAGCGAGTCTGGAAAGGCGGCAAGTACGTCTGGAAGCCACCGACCTTCGTGCGTCTCGTGAAGCACAAGCTGCCAGATGGCCGAAAGATCACTCTCAAGGCAGGGGCGCAGGTGGTGGATCGTGCGTGGAGGTACATCAAAGACCGCGTCAAGCAGAATCAACACGTCAAGTCCAACTCTACCCTCATACAGGCCAAAGTTCGTTCCGCCCCAGTATGAGTACTGGCACAGGGGTAAGGATGCTTGGATGAGCACCGGGGAACTCTTCACGTGGTACATGAACACCATTGCTGCAAAGCTCTGAATGAAATCCACGGAAAAAGTAGTGCGGACATCTAGTTATCATCGAAACAATGCTGGAGGAGCGGCGCGAGCATCTGGCGGTATGAAAACGATCTCATCGGATGCCTTCCACAAGCAAGTGCCACTGCATTACGAGCTGCGTGGGGAGAACCCCACGCAGAATGGGCGGGTACGTGAGCAGGCATGGCTTTGCTCCCTGCCGCGGTCCATACAAAAAAGAACACTGCATGGGGAGAGCCCCATGTAGAATGGACGGGTGTTGGTGTGAGCAGGCACGGCCTTGCTCCGCACCGCGGTCCACAATGGGAAAAAAGATACATGGGAAGAACCCCATGTAGAAAGGGAGGGTATGTGTGAGCAGGCATGTGCATGCTCTTCGCCAAACTAGTCATGAAAAAACAGCTGCATGGGGAGAACCCCATGTAGAATGGGCGGGTGTTGGTGTGAGCAGGCATGGCCTTGCTCCGCACCGCGGTCCATAAGCTAGAAGCAAACAAAAAATATGTGTGGGGAGAACCCCATCTGGAAGGGAGGGTATGTGTGAGCAGGAGTGTCCATGCTTCTGGCTGCAGTGCACAAACTAGTTACGAAAAGACGGACAGCCACCAAAAAACATCAGAACAAGCATGGATAACCACAAAAAGCGCGGATAACCCGGGGGGGGGGGGGGGGTAGCATATGTTTATGTACATCAGCCTTCTGGCGCCCCAAAGGCATATTGATTGTCAGTGAAGTGTGCAGCTTGAGGGGAATGGCTCCTTGTGCCATTTGGTGGAGGTGGCCCCTAACGTGCTGCCGGTGCGTGATGTGCGTGAGTGTGGTGGACCCTAGAGTAACTAGATTGCCCTGTCTCCGTGCTTGCATCCCTTGCTTAGTATCCTGGCGAGGGATCGCCGTGAGAAGAGCTTTGGATCGTTGATGCGGGCTGTCTTGCCAAGTGTTCTATCCAACCCTTGCCGGATTGAGCGTATCTTGCTCTTTCTGGTTTGGGGGGGCGGGCCCGTGGAGATCTGGGTGATGCAAACACGCATGGATGACGGGCCCGCGGTTGGCCCTTTAAGCCTTCGCGCTGGAGGGGCTGCTGCGTTGTAACAAGGCCGAGCGCACCCTGGTCGACCACACACACACATCAGCCTTCGGGACGTCCAGTGAGCCCTATACATGGACTTATAAGGTTTGCGCTGCAGCGGCCGTCCGAGGGGGGGGCTCCGGGTAGTTCTTGGGCCCTCAATGTGGTCCCTACCTCCTTTTTAAAGGGTTCGTATGGGCCCTGGGGGGCCCATACCAAGGGAGCAACCCTGAACCTTAAACCCTAAACCTTAAGTCCTAAACCCTAAACTCTAAACCCTAAACCCTAAACCCTAAACCCAACACCCTAAACCCTAAGCCCTGAGATCTCCCCGGAGCCAGCGCGTACGCCAATCAAGCACACCAGCGCGCACCAACCGAGTGGCTCGCGTGGCCTTTGGGATGCAGGGTGCAGGTTTCGGATTCGGTAGGGTTTATTTAGGGTTTAGGGTTTACGGTTTAGGGTTTAGGGTTTAGGGTTTAGGGTTTAGGGTTTAGGGGCCTTGAACCCTAAACAGTGAATCCCTGGCCTAAAGCCCCTAAACCCTAAACCCTTAAACCCTGAAACCCTGGACCCTAGACCCTAAACCCTAGACCCTATATCCTCAAGCCCCACGCCCGACAGGGTGGACGTGGTGTTTCAGGAGGTGCTGTCGCTTGGAACTGTTGGCTTTTGGCGCTTCTTCGGAGTAGGGTTTTGGGTTTAGGGGGTTTTGCGGTTTAGGGTTTAGGGTTTAGGGTCGAGGGTTTCGGGTTTACGGTGTGGTTTAGTAGGGAGCCCGGTGGTACCCTTTACCTGGTTTGTTTGGTTTCAAGGTTCCCTTTTAGGGTTTATAATAGGGGGTACTTTACACCCTATTAAGGACTGTTAGTATATACGGGGGGGAAGATCGCAAATTGGAAGGTTTGTTTTTAAGGGGTTGGGGCGGCTCGAAGAATGTAGGGTTTAGGGTTTAGAGTTCATAAGTTTGGGGTCATGATAATTATATGTGATACCAGCATCAATGACAACAACAAGAACAACAAGAACAACATCCTAAACCCTAAACTCTAAACCCTAAACCCTAAACCTTAAACCCAACACCCTAAACCCTAAGCCCTGAGATCTCCCCGGAGCCAGCGCGTACGCCGGTCGGGCAGGCGCGCGTCAACCAAGTAGCTCGCATGGCCTTTGGGATGTAGGGTGTTTAGGGTTTAGGGTTTAGGGTTTAGGGTTTAGGGTTTAGGGTTTAGGGTTTAGGGTTTAGGGGCCTTGAACCCTAAACCGTGAATCCCTGGCCTAAAGCCCCTAAACCCTAAACCCTTAAACCCTGAAACCCTGGACCCTAGACCCTAAACCCTAAACCCTAGACCCTAAATCCTCAAGCCCCACGCCCGACAGGGTGGACGTGGTGTTTCAGGAGGTGATGTCGCTTGGAACTGTTGGCTTTTGGCGCTTCTTCGGAGTAGGGTTTTGGGTTTAGGGGGTTTTGTGGTTTAGGGTTTAGGGTTTAGGGTCGAGGGTTTCGGGTTTACGGTGTGGTTTAGTAGGGAGCCCGGTGGTACCCTTTACCTGGTTTGTTTGGTTTCAAGGTTCCCTTATTAGGGTTTATAATAGGGGGTACTTTACACCAAATTAAGGCGAGCGGAACGAAGCAGATGAAGTTGGTGATCGCTCTCCATGACCAAGATCAATGTGAGCGAAAGCAAGAAGGCCAATACCTATCTCGAAGTGCAGAGGTGATGAGGAAGTCTTTGGATGAAACAGTTTCGACAAAGAACATGAACCTGGACAGACACATGAGACTTGTGTTGACACATCGAGGTCCTGAATTTTGGTCTGCGCAAGCTTTGCAGGAATCTGCTCTTCGTCGCGTGCGCAATCAATATTACACTCGTGAATTCGCTCATTTGGTCTTCACGGAGCTGCTCATGTGCAATGCCAAGGTGAGACGCCCAGCAACATTGAAGTTGTATTTGTGCTGGTTGTCAGCCCTCGTGCGGTAGTTATGTTGTGGCTGAAAACTAAGGTGTATGCGGTGCATGCACGGTTGCTGGCAGCATTTCCCGGGCATGTTCGAAGTCTGCTCCCCCGACACAGCGCTCATTGGTGGCCAATAGTCGAGGACATTTTCTTGTCGCCGAGAGTCATACAGTTTCGCCAGCGGCTAACGCAAGAACTGGTGGAGCATGAGGAGTTCGAAGCCCTAAGCATGGATGCTACTCTAAGATGCTGTCTGCCGATCATGGGCCAACCGCACGCGAGAGCCTCCAAGGAAATCAAGGCACATGCTGTTTTCAGGGAGATGAAGCATTGACTCGCGTCTCTCGGCGCAATCACGAAACATTTTAATTGCTGAATTTACAAGCAAGGTTGTAAGCAATGTTCACGAGTGCACCCGAGAGGTTGTGACGTGCAGGGGCAGAACGAACGCTGTCTTAATGCTGACCGCCGTATCCTCAGAAGAAACGTCTGTGCTCGTCGATGCACTGGCGGCGCATCTTCCTGCCGGCGGTCTTCAACAGGTAAAATATCTTTCAGTTGACAATCCGTCAGCAAAGCTGTGGCATCATGTTCGACGTAGATGTCCGAACTTGCAGATATTGGCTCTAGACCCCGTCCATCTGGCGATGACTTGTGAGTTCGCCTCAAGCAGAAAGCGAACGGCATCCTCAACAATTCTACGAACTATCCTTCAGAAGTTTTCTGCGTGCAGTCACACTTGCACGCCGTGTTCTTGGGGGCCGATTTTCACGGGGGACAAGTTTCGGCCTCTAACTCGTGAAGAAGAACAAGCACGATTGCAGATAGAGGATCGAAGCATGAGGATTAGCATCGCCGAGAAGATCCTGAGTCAGCTTGACGCGACAGTACCCTTTTTTGAGCGCATAGAGTGGATCAGAAGCTTGGCAGCTTTGGCAGCAGTGCGCCGCAGCGAAGTGGAATGCGTGGTTCCCGGGCCCAACCGCAAAATGTTCGAGCTGTTGCACACCGCAGCCGCAGGTCCACGGACCGAATGGTACCTCAACAATCTACGCATGCGGCGTGCAATCAGTCCATCTCGACTAAGTCTTGTACCGGTGGGGACAACGTCGAATGAAGCTTTGCACCACGAGATCAACAACTGGTTTCGCGAGACCCAGAAATTACACAAAACCACCCTGGAGCTGAAATTGTCAATTATGTCTTTTGGTAAACTATTGACTCACAACACTGCCTTGTATTGGACAACGACACGGCAGATGTCCGAGGCCGAAGTGTTGGCTCGAACGGCTTCCGTTGCTTTGTGGAGTCCGCAACAGTGGGTGCAGTGGTGCGAAGAACTTGCGGTTGGCCGAAAAACTGAGAAGGCGACTCTCAATCTACATCCTCGCAGGCAAGCAGAGCGAAGGGCTGTCAAAGACATGCTTAAGAAAAAGCCTGCTGCTTCCGTGGGCCAAGATCGCAAGAGGCGTATCACACCAAACACCTTGCTGCGGCAGGACAATCTGAGGCGAGCAGGCGTTCGTGGAAGAGCGCCTGTGTCGTAATTAAGAATGTAGGCTGACACAAGCAAATGATGTTCATGGCAAAGGCAAACAGAAAATAATCGCACGGAGATGTGTTGTAGAATGATGGATTATGCGCAACAATCTCTAGTTACAAGAAATCACTACCGCGATCGCTTCTTCTTGCACATGCTTAGATTACCGGCTGAACGAAGCGTGCCAGACTGAAAAATGCGTCAGGTTGCTGTGTGAACGGGTGGTCGCGGATGTGCTTCTTTTCGTATGACTTTGAAAAGGAGTTTATAGAGCTGTGTCGCGCAGTGAATCAACATCTTTGATTTACCACGTCATGAGCACATACTGAGGGCAGGCAAGTTTGAAGTGTAGTCGGAGCTAGCAGCTAGCATGCGCCTGCTCACATGGCCCAGGGCCCAATGGTCAAGCGTCCAAGAGTTCAGGGTCCAAGGATCCAAGGATCGGTCTAAGGATCAAGGGTCCAAGCTTTGAGAAAGAACCTATTCGAGAAATAGTAGTTTGCGGGTTTTTTTTAAATTAGAACTTACTTTTATACATATCTCAGTTGTGGAAGTTAAGGAACACACGAGCACTTTTATCTGTAAGTAATATTTTGCTCACACGACTGTGTGAGCGATGTGGCCTTTGACTTCATCCCTGATCTCTTTGAAGTTTTGAGCTTAAAGCAGAAGTTGTCGCGCCATTTGTTTTAGCAGGGTAAGCATTCATTAAATTTCCGACATTGCGAGGCAAGGATCCATACCTTTAAGAAAGAATCTGGTTGACGAAGAAATGCTTCAGCTTGTACATAATGTATTTTGGCTTTGGTGGCTTAGAGGGCTCAAAGGTCAAGCGTCCAAGGATTTAAGAAAGTGCCGGATTCCAAAGAGAAAGCGCTTAGTTATAAATTCTTGAAATTCCCTAAATTCATTAAGAAAAAAAGCAATACAGGCCCTATTCCCAGTTGAAGAACTTTTGTAAAGCCTTTAATTCTTTTAAATTTCTTAAATTGGAAACGAGGCCGGCATTTCTTTTTTATTGAGTTTTCAGGAACGCAAAGTGTAGATAGGGCAGGTATGTATTGTTTTCAAGAATTTAAAGAACTTAAGGAACTTTTCAATTTCAGATTGAGATCCTGAATTAGAAATTAAGTGTGGTATTTTCTCTTTTAAGGATTTATTAAAAACGCCTGAAACGGCCTTTTTAAAATGTCTCTAAACTGGAAATAGGGCTGGTGTGCATGTTCTTAAGAATTTGCAGAGCTTGCCAAATTAATTTCGAATTTGCAGAACTTGCCAAATTAATTTCGTGAATCCAAGTCTGAGATTATGTCTGATTTTATTCTAGAATTTACAGAATGTCAAGGCGCAACTGTCCTTTTCTTCTCAAAGACATAAATGTCAAATAAAGCCCATGTTTTGTTTTTCGACAATTTACATATGTTAAAGCTAAAAAATGCTTTCAATTTCTCAAATTCTTTAAGTTTAACAACTGATTAGCATTCGAATACTTCAGACGCTTCACAAATAAATCCAAGTTCGTTCCAGGATCCAGTCACAAAGCGCCACAAGGGTCCAGAGTCCAGGAATCCAAGGCAGCACAACGGTACCCAATTCCGAGGCTCCAGGTTCTGAGAACCTAAGGGTCCAGGGGCTTGAATCTCCTTACAAACAATGACCTCTTAGCGTTTACTTTTACTTCGGAGAAGTTTTTCTTGAAATGTGGAATATGTTCTCATGCGAGATCCACCATACTGAAAGTATTCTTTCAGCCTGATTTTCAGGTTTTTATTGAAACGTGGCGGTATGAATAAATCTACTCGTGTGACCATTACGTGTCCATTATATGTTTATCGTATGTCAGCTGTGCGCCCATCTCATGTTAATAATATCTTATCCATCATCCATCCCTCATGACATGACTGTTATAAATCTGTGTATATACTTATGATACGCAGACATGTGCGTTCGGAAGACACATGCTGCTATTACTGTCTACTAGTTATCATGTTTATCTGTTTGTTCTATATGTTGGCCTGCTATGTTTTGCTGTGATAGTTCTGTATCCCACTCGAACTCTGGGACGGAGGGGGGCGATAACGCTTGCGGAACCCCCCTGAGATGTTGAGAGGGGCGTGGGAGGTAGGCCGCCGCACCGTATGTGCTTTTTGACGCTCACTCACTCACTTTTGCTGCGGTGAGAATATCTCGAAGTGAAGTAAGTCTTAATTGTGAATGTTAATATGTTATAAACAAAGCCCTAAGTGTATTAAATCACAGAAGTATAGGCTTTTTTCGTTTAAATATTTCTTTTACCCCTTTGCGCGCGCCATAAAGGTCCTTCCTAGTACTATCCTAACTCGAAGCCTGAAATCAACAAACCTTGTGCTTTTCAGGTTTAGGCTATAGGTTTCAGGGCAAGAGTGTGATCATGCAGAACCATCCTCAACAACCCTGAATGCCTAAACCCCTGAACCGTAAACCTTGAAGTTTTAGACTTTAAGCCCGAAGCCCTAAACCCCAAACTTTAAACTCTAAACATTCCCAAAAGACCCTCAAAGGCCCTCTAGGGTTTAGGATAACACCTAAACCCCAAGAACTCTACGAGCGCCCGCTCCCGCCATGAGCTATTTTTGCCCTCGGCCCTGTGGGCGGGTGGGGCTGGCTTCGTGGCCTTTCGGTAATGGTGCGCCACCAAGAAAACCTTTTACAAGAAGTCCGATAAATGCTGAATGAAAAATTAAAATATTCACTAATTACCGACATACTAGGTAATTTAGGAAGTTCTTTTTCATTCAGTGTTGATTGGACTTCTTCCAATAAAACAAGCGTATGTGCGTAGAACATTCCTATATAAAGGCCGACCGCATCGTGACGTATGCCGCAGTGCCGAGCAGAAAGCCTGGTTTTCGGCCCGCGCGGCTCTCAAGGGTTTAGGGTTTAGGGTTTAGGGTTGAGGGTTGAGGGTTTAGGGTTTAGGGTTTTTCCATAGCACACCCTTTAGCTCCGTAACTTCAACAACGGAATGCAAGTCCTTTGCGGTCCCGATCCGAGGTCAAGCCGAGACCGATCGGGATCCTGAAGATAGTAGAAGCCTCACCTGGAAGTGAGTGTTTCGGGTTTGGGGGAGAGTTTCGGGACGAAGGCTTTAAACTCTAGAGTTTAGGGTTGGGTTTCGGGACGAGGGCTTTCAACTTAGGAATTGAGGGTTTAGGGTTGGGATTTGGGACGAGAGCTTTCAACTCGAAGGTTCAGGGCTGGGTTTCGGGACGAAGGCTTTCAACTTTAGAATTGAGGGTTTAGGGTTGAGTTTCGGAAAGAGACTTTCAACTTTGGGGTTTAGGGTTGGGTTTCGGGACGAGGGCTTTCAACTTTGGAATTGGGCTCTTGGGCCCTCAAATCCTTAAAAATTGAGACCCCAGAACCCTCGTACCAGTCCCTTTGTAGGAGAGTCCTTGGAGCCTTAAGGTAGGATTGAGTTTCCGGACAAGAGCTTGCCACGTTGGGATTTAGGGTTGGGTTTCGGGACAAAGGTTTTCAGCTTTAGAATTGAGGGTTTAGGGTTGAGTTTCGGGACGAGAGCTTTCAGCTTTAGGTGTTTGGCTGCTCATTCGCGCTTTTTTCGCACTTTTCGTGCGCCCTAAACCCTTTTCAGACCCCGAAGCAAAAGTTAAAGCTAAAAACAGTCGCTGTTTGGTTTTGGGAGTTCGCGGCTGTTTTGATGCTCATTTTGCAGGTGTTTTGCAGCTCGGTCGCGCTTTTTCGCACTCTTCGTGCGCCCTAAACGCTTTTTCGGACCCCGAAGCAAAAGTTAAAGCTAAAAACAGTCGCTGTTTGGTTTTGGGAGTTCGCGGCGGGTTTGATGCTCATTTTGCAGGTTTTTTGCTGCTCATTCGCGCTTTTTCGCACTCATCGTGTGCCCTAAACCCTTTTTGGATCCCGAATCAATTTTGAGAGTTCGCGGCTGTTTTGATGCTCATTCTGCAGGTGTTTTGCTGCTCATTCGCGCTTTTTCGCACTCTTCATGTGCCCTAAACCTTTTTTGAACACCGAATCAAAGGATGAAGCAAAAAAAAACGTCGTTTTGTGGGCTTGGGAGCTCGCGGCTGTTTTGATGCTCATTTTGCAGGTGTTTTGCTGCTTATTTGCGCTGTTTCGCATTTGTCGTGTGCCCTAAACCCGTTTAAGACCCTAAAACAAAGATGAAGCTAAAAGAAAACGTCGCTTTTTTGTTTTGCGAGGTTCGCGGCTGTTTTGATGCTCATTTTGCAGGTGTTTTGCTGCTCATTCGCGCTTTTTCGCACTCTTCGTGTGCCCTAAACCCTTTTTGGATCCCGAATCAATTTTGAGAGTTCGCGGCTGTTTTGATGCTCATTCTGCAGGTGTTTTGCTGCTCATTCGCGCTTTTTCGCACTCTTCATGTGCCCTAAACCTTTTTTGAACACCGAATCAAAGGATGAAGCAAAAAAAAACGTCGTTTTGTGGGCTTGGGAGCTCGCGGCTGTTTTGATGCTCATTTTGCAGGTGTTTTGCTGCTTATTTGCGCTGTTTCGCATTTGTCGTGTGCCCTAAACCCGTTTAAGACCCTAAAACAAAGATGAAGCTAAAAGAAAACGTCGCTTTTTTGTTTTGCGAGGTTCGCGGCTGTTTTGATGCTCATTTTGCAGGTGTTTTGCTGCTCATTCGCGCTTTTTTCGCCACTCATGCAGGGGGGGGGTCGAAATTAAAATGGTTCCGTTTTCGGAGGGGACCCCTCCCCTTAGATAATCGGGGGTGATCTAAAACCCTCAAACCGCAAACCACAAAACCCTTTAACCTCTACGCTTATACGCCTAGGCTGTGGCCCGTCGCTCCGGTGCTGCAGGGCTCTCAGCAGCTGAGACCGGTTTAGGGTTTAGGGTTTAGGGTTTAGGTAAGGAAGCAAAGGTTGTAAGAGTGTGTAGACACAGATCTGAAAGCCTAAGCCCTAAACCCTAACCGTAAACTCTACCTGGCGCTACCTGACTCGGGCATCTCCTTAAAACATCG